TCCCTCAGGTGTCCCCCTCCCTCCCTCCCTCCGCCTCATCCCTCAGGGGTCTCCCTTCCTCCCTCCCTCAGCCTCATCCCTCAGGGGTCTCCCTTCCTCCCTCCGCCTCATCCCTCAGGTGTCTGCCTCGTTCCTCTCTCAGTCGCTCTCTCGCTCCTCCACCAGAGTAATACTGTGGAGATAATATATTCAGATTTCAGCAAGGCATTCCTAAAATGCTTTCATAGATTAATGGCGAGGCCACCAAAGTTTCTGGCGCGCAAGATTATTACTGGAGAGCAAGATTGATGACTCTTGGCTATGGGTGCGTCCCATTGGAGAATATACATCCAAGGGGTGAGGGGGGCAGATCCAGGTCAAGGGTGAAATGAATGATGTGTCTCAGACTCAGCTGCGTCCAGGTAACACCGGCATGTTCACCCCTAATAAATCTTGGTGGTGTTTTTTTTCTTCCCCTTAGAGATGCAGCTAGAGACTCATGATTTGAATGGGGGCGGATGCCGGAGTCCTGACATCTAGCTGAGTAAATTGTAGCCTTGATACTAGTTAGGATTAATTGTAGCCTTGATGCAAAATTTCTTATCTTGCTTCGCTTCTGTCCTTGGCTTCAAAGCTAGCCAACATCCTTGAAAATAGAGAAGAAACTGTTGTTACCCAGGAATATCAGGAACCCGAATAGGGAGTTGTCTGCCTCATAGATTCTGAATCCTGAAACCATTTTCTGCTGAATAAACAACTTGGCCAGGGAGGGAAACCTCCCCTATAGGAACGCTCCATAGATAAGGTGGGCAGAGACAGGGACGTGAACAAAGGACGCTTTAAAGACCACATTGTCTCTCATTGGGTAAACTTTGATTCTAACTGGGTTCTAATGTGTATAATACTCTGAGCCACCCTTACAGGGTGTGGCTATTCCTTACACGCATTTTGACTGTATTTTGTTTTGGATATAGTTTTGTCACACAGCTTTTGCTTTGGCCATAAATAAAAGCTGATTATTTTTTGCAAACCTCGTCTCAAGTCTCACTCTCTTTGGCATCACAGTGGCTCTGGGAAACTTCTGGGACCTTACAGCAGAATCATGAATGTTAAGAAAGTTTTGTTTCAGTCTAACTGGCCATTGTCAGTTCACTGAAACCCACCTTGGAAAACATAAGGAAGGAATTTCTACACATCAAATAGGTCAGGGCCTAGACTAGGGGGTCTCCAAACCTGGCAATTTAAAAGCTTGTAGACTTCAACTCCCAGAATTCCTCTGGCACATATGTTGCCATACTGGCTGGGGAAATCTAGGAGTTGAAGTTAAAAGTTGCCAAGTTTGGAGACCCTTGGCCTAGACTTATAGAATTATGGTCTGTTGTTATTTATAGTGCCTTCCTGCTGTAAAGTATTTCAGCGTCCAGCACATGGGAAACAGAGAAAAGAATTATGGTCCATATTTCCTTGCTCTTCCAAAAAAGGATTACAAGCATTACGAGACTCCAGAATCTTCTAAATAAAAACTTAAAAACTCAAAATGTACTATAGGAGGAGGCAAAAGGCCCAAATAGGAGAGATTTGAACACCTCGAAAAAGAAGTAGGCTGTAAATTGGAAGAATCATGGAAAGCTATGCTCTATTGCTACCAAAGTGACATTTACAAACGCATTGAGGTTTCTCTGTGCACACATTAGGATAGACTTAAATCACTTAGTAGAACTCTGTATTACATATATCAGTATTCAGGAAGGCTAAGATGTGAGTGTAAAACAGGCAGGAATTGCTGTAAAGGGAGATGAGAAAATTCCTTCTGACTTGTAAACTGTGTGGCAAATGCCATCTAAAGCCCTCCAGTGGGCGTTGGTGGGGTACAAAGGCTTTTAGGGTGTTTTCCTTGTGCTGCTTTTTCTGAGGAATAAAGTTTTTTCTTGGCTTCAGCGTGTTCAATTTGAGGCTGGGCACATCTGGCAAAGCGCCTGGAGCAGGAAAGGGGAGGAAAACCAAAAGTGCCTTTGAGTTCAGAAGGATCCCTTCCCTTCTTTCAGCCATTTTGGAAGCGCAATGCTTGAGGGGGAAATGGGGAATCCGCCAGGATCCTCTTCTCTGCAAACTGGAAGCACCTTCATTAGGCTTGGAGCTGTTTTAAGTGGGAGAAATATTTTGTAGATATAGTTGACTTACAAGCACGTGAGCCCCCAATTTTTGCTGTTAAGTGAGACATTCTATCAATTTTGCTCCATTTTGTGAGCTTTCTTGCCTCAGTTGTTAAGCGAATCACCTCAGTTGTTAAATTAGGAACATGGTAAAGTGAATCAGGTTTTCCCTTTGGTGTTGCTTGTTGTAAGGTCGCAAAAGGGGATCCCCTGACCCCAGGACACCACAACGGTCATAAATGTAAGTTCTCAGGTAACTGAATTTGGATCACGTGACCATGGGGATGCTGCAACAGTTGTAAGTGCAAAAAATGGACATAAGTCACATAAGTCAACTTTGGTCACTAAATGAATGGCTGTAAGTCGAGGCTGCCTGTACGGTTTAGTTGTTTTTCTTTTGAAATTCATAGACTTTTAAATATTTCCCACCTCAGGCCTTTTAGATAGTTAAATATATTAAATATTTCTTGGCTCCGAGGTTTTCTTCGGCTTCAGAGGGAGAAAGTTAGTGGGTCTCCCTTATGGATCATCAGGGGGTCCTTTGGTCCTGCATTTATTGGGGGTAATATTGGAAAAAAGCAGATTCTGTGGGGATTTTTCCCCCCTTTCTCTTTATTCTCTTTTGGGGCAAGGAAGCCACCTCTAAGTTGTGTCGTTCTTTGTCATAACCCATCGACCCTTCAAATACAGACAATCCTCAACTTATGACCACAATTCAGTCTGTTGCTAAGTGAGACATTTGTGAAGTGTGTTTGGTCCCATTTCACGCTATTTCTTGCCGTGGTTGTTAAGCGAATCACTGTAGTTGTTACAGTCATTGACCAAATCTGGCTCCCCCATTGACTTTGCTTGTCCGGAGCTTCCTGTGATCCTGGGACATGGCAACCGTCATAAATATGAGTCAGGTGTCAAGTGGCTGGATTTTGAAGACCTGCTGCAACCGTCTTGAGTGCGAAAATGTCACTTTTTTTTCAGTGCCTTTGTCGCTCCGGCCACTGATCCAATGGCTGTAAAGGCCTACTTATAAGGTATCTATTGATTGTTATTCTGGCACAATCATGACTGTTAGTCATTGAAGGGAATAAGTTGTAAGTTGAGGACTATGCTAAGTGGATAAGAGAAGCTCCTTTTCCTGCCTAACTTTGCCCCCTCCCTCTCTCCCCTTTCTCTGACTGCCTGGGGGTTGGACTAGAAGACCTCCAAGGCCCCTCACACCTCTGTTAGTCTGTTAAAGAGCAATTCGCTCCTTCACCTTAAGGCTCCGCATCCCCTTCCCCTTCCTGCTCCCGTCCCTGGGCCTCGTCCCCTCCTTCTTCCACCTGGTTCTCTGGGCTCTTTCTCTCTCATGAGCCAAAGAAGCAATGGACTCCCTGCCCAGCTGACCATCCCGCCCAGGACGGGGGGGGGGAGGGGGAATGGGCAGGCAGGGGGACTCCTGAATAGGTAGCGCCCCCCCCCCGTACAGAATGGGAGGAGCTATAAGCGCTTCCGGCTTGGGCTCTGCAAACTCCTGGCTGGGGTCGTTCCGGGGAGGGGGATCCACGTGCGTGGCCGGGAAGGAAGGAAGCGTGGCCGGGAAGGAAGGAAGCGTGGCCAGCGGCGATCGCGGAGCCTTTCCTGCCCGGGTCTCTTGGAGAGCGGATTCCAGTCGAGGAAGAAGCCGCGTGTTTCCTATTGAGGGCCAGGTAGAAAGCTCCCTCCTTCCTCCCTCCCTCCCTCCCTATCTTCCCTCTTCTTTCCTGGGAAATGCCGGGACAGGTGAGCCTTCCAGGCAGCTTCTTGGGGCGCTGCTAAGATCGCTGCTGCCGCCCCCACTTCCTCCTGGGGGAGATGATTCTTATTCTCCTTTCTTTCCTGCCGGCCCTTCCTGGCCGTTTCCCGTCGCTTCCTTTGCTCTGGCGCCGTTTCACACCCAGGAGGCTCGGAGTTGAAGGGCTGCGAAACCGGCCTTGAGCCGATGCTCTCTCCGGATGCGGGTCGCCTGGGGCGGCTCCCCGAACCAGCAGCGCTCCAGACGAGCCCCCTCCGGAGAGAGCATCGGCTCAAGGCTCCTCCGGACGCCCTTCCATCTCTTCGCCCGCCTTCTTTTCCTCGTTCCCATCGTTCAATTGAACTGCATTTTTGGGTGCATTTAAAGAGGCTTCGCTCTTTCCTGCGGGCCGTTGTTTCTCAACCTGGGCAACCTTGTGATTTGTGGGCTTCCAATCCCAGAATTTCCCACGTGTGTTGAAGTCCACATATCTCAACAGCTCCCAAGATGTAACCCAGGGGTGAGGAAGTTATTGTCCCTTTTATGACTGGTGGACTTGAAGTCCCAGAATTCCTCAGCCAGCTGACTCAGGGACTCTGGGAATAAAGTCCAGCAGTCATAAAATGCCCTAGTTCCCCACTTCAAGTCCCAGCTGTGAAAAAAGAGATTTTGTACTCTTCCTTGATTAGGGAAGGTGAACATTATAGCAACATAGAATAACA